TTGAATAATGGTTTGGGACCTTGATCTGAAAGACATTCCAAATTAAAACATCGCCTTTACCCAGTTTGTTAAGAGTAATTTTATAATTAATTTCTTCTTCTAGGACATCGAACATACTTTTTTCTCTCACTCTCGAATAAACTGATTTCGTATTTATCAGAAAAGCATACTTATCATAATTTTCTAAAGTTCTCTTCAAGTGTTTTAAGGTAAACTGAAATCTAGCCACCTAAATTTTTAATTAAATAATGGCTTTATTATGGATCCCATGCAATCCAACAATATACAAACGTCTAGTAATAGTCCTGCGACTACAATTACAATGCTTTTTCGTGTAACTCCAGTGTAATTTGGATAGCAGTTTTCAGAATGTCTTACCTAAATATGCTTTTATCATGCTACTTACTTTTTTCCTTCTTTTCGTGACTTTATATAATGTCATCAAAGAACAAGTCATCTTCCAATAATTTTATTACTCTTTAATGTAACTCAAAACATTTCTATACGTGTAGTGATAGTTTTGTCAATGCAAATTGAATGTTTAAAACAAACTTGTTAATTTATTAAATTATACTTATTAAAAATTATTTTTAAATTAAAAACATAATTGGCTGATGACTTTAGAGCACAAAAATAGTGTAGCTTTAGTTTTTATTATTAAAAAACTTTTTATACGTATAATTATAAATAAATAGTATTATATTATTTAAATTTGGTTATAATAAAATAAGTAAAATTAAAATTTACAAAGTAAAACAGTTAAAAATTGAAAAAAGGTATGTAAATATACTGGTTGCAGATTTTAATATGCTGTTATATCTTTGAAAGTCAGACTTTTCAATTACATAAAAAAAAAAAAAAAATGACTTAGATTAGAAGCGAAGGTGGTCTGTGTTTTGCTAAGATTTTGCACTTTCAAAAACAATTCAAATTCTATTTATAGTTGTCACAGCTATTTTATGTATAAATATATGAACTTGTGGTCCTATGGCATATGCAAGAGAGCAGTTCTGCACATCAGAACTAGACAGCACACAATACATCAAGTTTTAGAGAATCAAAATAGCAAATCTTTTCCTTTCCCTCAGAGATTCAATATCTTTCTTTTTTTTTTTTTTTGCAGGAATGAATCGTTGGCTTGGACAAACAAATGTTCAGAGAAGAAATGCACCCAGAAGTCAGTGCCCATACCATTTGTAACCAGTAACTATAATATATGGAGATATGAGAATAATTCACCACAGTGTTCATTGCTAAATCCTTAATATGGTGCTTGCATCAACCGTTGATTTTGTTGCGCTCTTCAAAAATATTTCCTGAACATAATACAATAAATTTAAGGCTTCTCTAGCACTAGCATTTGAGCGTCTTTCTTACATAAAGAATCACCAGATCCCCAATAATGACTTCAGTTTCACAGGTGAAGTTATCATTTGTGCCAAATGACTTTCTCTGGAGTTATTAGGGGCCAAAAGAATACAGTGGGTAGAATAGCAGACCTCAAATCATGCGGTGTTGTCATAACATACCCTCCAACTGCTATGGAATTTCCGTAGTTTCAGAAATCTTCTTTTCTGACGGTAGCAAAATTAATGTCTCAATATTTATTAAAAAAATTATTTTAGCATAACTTGTCCACTATTACTTATAAAAGTGCAGGCCATATGTCTAGATTTTTAAGTTCTGATAAAAGTTTTATGAGAGATCCATTTGCTTTAAAAATTTCTACTTTGGTTCGCTACCACTAGAAAGAATTATTTTCAAAATCCTCATAAGTTGGAGGGTATGTCATAATAAACATTCACTTAAGATAAGGTTACTGTCTTGATGAAAGATCATTATCTATGATACAGACATTGGATGTCTTCCAAGAAGGCAAAATTTCTCCCAATACAGTGCTAATGTAAAATATCCTCAGTGGTTGAGGGATTATAGGTTAGAGTCCCCTTGCCGCCATGCTAACCGAGGGAGGTTTTCCTCTCTATGTAACGTAAGTGTGGGTTAGAAAAATTGAAAAGTCGTTCACGAAGGCAAATTTTCCTAATACTTGGTCCAGGAGTTCCCTTGTCTTCTGGATTGGGTTCAAAATTACAAGGCTGCGAAGTTGAACATTAGTAGTCGTAAAACTGGGGTTGAGTCGCTGTTCAACGACAGTTATAAAAAAAATTATATATGATGCATAGTTGCATTAAAAAAGCATATTTTACTCATTACTTTTCATAGACAGCTAGCAATTTTTAAGCACTTTAGGAGCAACAAATTTTAATTGTATTACAATATAATCTATAATTTCAGAAGTTGTAGGCATCTATATAAATCTATAATGTGATGTCATAAATTTTATTCTGAAAAAGTTTTGCAAAATAAAGAAATTAAACACATTTTTATGAAACAAAAATATTCATCTTTTTTAAAAGTAAAAAAAGAAAACTTGCAAAAAAAAAAAAAAAAAGNGAAATGTAATTTAAACTTGAAAAAAAAAAAAAAAAAAGATTATTATCAGGGCTTGCATTAAAGATCTCAAATTATCAGCCAGTAGGTAAATCAGCCAAATATCAGTAATATTAGCCAAATTTCAAAATTCTTAGCCTAAGGCAAATCTTATGATTAATTTTTTAACATAGAAAACTACAAGAAAACTAACAAATCAAAATCCAAATTTACTACAAATTGAATTATTTAAGAAAAACAAATTCAAATCAAGAATTATTTTGCAGTTGGAGAGGAGTAAAGGAGCGATGAATGGGAGGAAAAATGTAGATGTTGATTTTTATCTCTTTTGAGGGAAAATAATTAATTTTAATAAATTTTGATAACTTCTTAGACTAGAGCATTAATATAAAGATAAATCTTAGGTAACATTATTGCACATTATTACATATGTTATTGTCACATTTTTAGATAAGTTATTCTCAACAACAAACATATTTTATACAAAATATCAGGAAGATAATATGTATTTTGCTAACACACAATCTGTTTTACTGACACAAACCGTAGGAAAAAATATGTCACACTATATTGCGTGATCCAGACAATGAGCTGTATGGTAATCTGTATTTTACGGTAGTTTGTCTCATGCTTACACAATCTCTGTAGTTACTTACAATATTTGGACTTTAATTCTAAATAGTTATGAAACATATATATTAGAAATTACTGTAGTTGAATAAAAAAATTCAAGATTTGTTTTTAAAAGTTCCCTTTAACTTTTTTTTCAGGATTCAGGACAATATATATATTTTCGGGGAGGATTTCTGTATCGTGATCTGTGGCAGAATGATCGCCAAGTCTTGGAAACTTCCGGGCAATGGCCCTGCGAGAAAATAAAAAAGAAACATCACAGAAAGGGACCAACTCGAAAGGTATAACGAACCGCCACCCCTGGCAAACATCTACACCTTCGTTTTTGTTTTAAAGTTGTAAGTTTAAAATCTATTTGGCACCTTCGCGATTGCAGTTGGTGCGACAGATCAGGACTGATATATCCCGGGATATAGACTGATATATATACTGGGATATCCCCATTTTTTTTCCGATAGAAAAAATCATACATCAATAATTTTATCAAAGCACATTTTTTTGCCAAATTTACAATTTATCAGATTCGACGAGGCGGCAATTGCTTAGGCTAGCCATGATTATAACAGGTACAGATGTCATAAATTTCATTAAAAAAAGTTTTGTGAGATAAACTGAATAAAACACATTTTTTTTTTAAATGGNTTTTTAATCAATACTAATTTAGTTTGTGAGCATTAAAAAAAAAAAATTTTTTTTTAAAAAATATTATCCATCTCCCTTTGATTTGTTATTTTACAATTCGCAAAGTACAAAAATTAGACTATCTTAAATGTTGCAAAAAAATCTTATGAAAAATTCTTTTAGGCAAAAATATTTATATTCCAAATGAGATGCTCTTATTATTGTGTTTTATAAATTAAATAAACTAATCAAAATTTGTATGTTTTAACTCAGAAAAACCTTCAAATTTGAATCAATCAAAATTAATTAACAAACAATCGAATTTTCAAAGCAGGAAAGAAAATATTTATGAACATAAATTAGATATATATTAATAGAATATTATAATATATGTACAAAACAAATATGAAATATTTATAGGCCAAAATTTATTCATCACACATACAAAGTTAATTTCTAAAATATTAATAAATCAAATGCACCAGCAGACTTGAACAATGTAATTATATTAATAAAGAAATAACCCACCACATTTTACCAACAATTGGAAATGAAATACTTTTTACTGTATTTATAATAATCAGTAAAAAGTACATTGTTTACAAATTATTATAATAAATGCATTCAAATTTGATATTAGAAATAGGTATAAACCAAATAAAAAAAGAAAGGAAAATTCTTGAACAAACAATCATTGTACATTTGTAATCAGCAAATATTAATCACGGCAAAACACACCTAGTTGAATGTTTATTGTTTACTAAAATTGAAATTAGATGCACCCACAACAGGTTTTTAATAGTAATAATAATAAAACTTTTATTTTCTTACAACAGAAATTGAATTAAACTCGTTGTAATTAAAACACAAATCGTAGTTTCGTTCAATAAAACAGGAGTAAAATAAATTAAATCAGTTTAATATGAACTGAATTTTTATAATGGTAAATCCCACTATTATTCACTAACAATAGAAATTCCATTTAATTTCGCTGTATAAAATTTAACATAAAATACGTTCACGATCGTCTTAAAGTCGGATAATTAATAATTGTTTTATTATTGTCTCTCTCAAATGACATAATTATTTAAGCATAAATAAGCCTTTTTATAAAAAATACTAGGATTGTTTAAAAACTATATCTGTTAAAAATTACGGTCAAAATTATGTAGTCATTAAAACAAGCAGATAACTGCATAAAAAAAATCGATTGATCAGCTCATGATTTGTCATTGTGATTTCCAATCGAATTAAATGATTTATCATTCAATGCTTATAACTCAATGGTTACATACCTTTTAATATCCAAACGTCGTGAAGTCAATCTTTAAAACAGATGCTGATGATACACAATCCACTATGCATCCTATTTAAAATCGGTAAATAAAGTGAGTCACAGTTCACAAAATTTTATACTTGAAAAGGACATTACACATTTGGGCGAGCGAGAAAAACATTCAATGAAACTTCCTTTAATTTCTAGACTTCTTGTCTCCTACCAGTTTCCATGTGCATCACCACAACCTCCTCAACACACAACACGCCGCCATCACTAACGCCTGTAATAGGGTTGCCTTATTCAAGGTCGCTGTTCCAATCACTAACATTAAAGAGTTATCGCTCCTTTGGCAAACCGCAATGATAAAATTGTTGAGCCAAATGAAATCGGTAATACACCTTTCCAGCAGATAGTAAAATTAAAACTTTTTATCCATTGAGAAGATGAGTGTACGAGTTTTTTAATCATAAATAAAGAGTTGTAAAGATCAACAAAAAAAAATGAGGCTAACGTAAGCATTAATAAAAAAGCGGCACAAGATCAAATAATAAAGAAAAGCAGATGATAATTTGGGAACTTATTGGAGTTAACTTTATTTTGTAAACTAAGTTTTTCTCTTTATTTTCCCCAGCGTCCATTTCTAATGTTTTTATATGATATCAAGTTAAAGTAATGCATTTAATGTTCTTTTTATTCATTTTTACTGTTTATTTTATGTCCATTATAACTTATTCATTATTACTGTCGTGTGTCAGCGATTTTAATATAAACACGAATAATTGAAAACCAATTCATCCTACCCAATTAGACGACATGAGGACAAGCATCAATTAATATAGTTTTTTGCAACCTATGACTTGAGGTGACTCAGGGGATAGAACACTTGCCCCCCATTGAGGGGACAAAGGTTCGAATCCCAGTGGTAGCTGATTGGTACGAATTCAGGTCTGGGATCGCACCGACAACAGTGCGTACATAAAATATAACAGTGGTAAGAGGATCATAGCTTAGAATTCCCTTGACATCGGGGTGACCGTGGGAGGTTTTCGTGGTTTTTTCTCTCCCTGTAAGATAATTAGGGATTAGTTCTATCTAAAAGTCCTCCACGAAAGTTAGTAGTCCTAATGCATAATCCAAGAGTTCCCTTGCCTTCTGGGTTAAATTCAAAACGACAAGGCTACGGTGTTGAAAGATGATAGTCGTAAACTCAGAATTGGGGCGGCTGATCAACACCAGTTATTAAATATAAAATTTAATTAAAAAAAATAATGAAAAAATAAAAAATTACTCTTGATTTGAAATGTGGTGTTTATGAAAATCTATACAAAAAAAAAATTGACTAATGTGTAACTAGTGATCTCAACAATGCAATAACAGTTTTCTCTGTCTTGACGTTAGATTCTTTTTTTTAAATTTGTTTTTAAATCTATGAAGAGATTTGATTGGAGGTGGACAAATTTTTTCCTTTAATAGAAGGTCAAGTAATTAAATTATCGAAATCCCGTTTTTTTTTTTTTTTTTTTCCCCCTTCCTTTTTTTTCTTTCTTTTTACGTTTTTTCCAGAGGCGTACAGGTGCGAATGATGACGGAGATTTTATACATGATTAAATAACTCTGAAATGGAGAGAGGAACACATTGAAAAATAATCTAAAAAAAAAAACTAAAGTCTCAGATTTAAATTTCGTTTTCGTGTAAACGTAATCAGAAATTATAATATGATAAAATAAAATAGACATTTCTAATAAACTATTCTTTTTCCCTGGTAAATAAAAAATAAATTTTAATTTTATTGAAGAACTTTTTTTTAAGTTTTTTTAACGCTCTAAAGCTTCATTAATTTTATTTTAAAGTAATATACTTTATACATTATATATCATACCTTATTATAGTTTGCATATTAATTGTACTTTCCATAAAGCCTTTTCCTGAAATTAAATATTGATCTGTTTAAAAATTTAATTTAATAATAAAAATAATTAGCAATTCTTGCATATAGAATTTTAGTGTTTTGTCGACCCGGTCTTGGCTAGATACCTGGGGTTTCGCCAAAACTAGGCGATCATTATGCAGCAATCACCAAACTTTCCCATAGAATTTTTTTTCTGTTTTTATACTTTCCTTGAATATGTTAGCCTCCTTAAAGCTATTTACATAAAATATCCTCATTATACATGAAAAAAGAGTTTAGTCTGTGAGAAATATTAGTTATAAGTTAACTAATTATCTTTATTACTAATTAAACCCTTAGAACCTAGTATTCTATTTTGTCAATGTGTGTTTCAACAAACGTCAACCAATTTAAAGAATATTCAAAACTCTTCAGGGTTCAGGAACTAAAGCGCTCTTCCATTTTTATATTTGAAAAATCTAAGTCCCGGGCTACTTCAAATAAAAAAAGGATCAGCTCAGACCTTTAAAAAGATGTTTTTCAACAACCTTTAAATTAAATAATAAGATTAAAATAAATAAATAATAAGTTTCTTTCTGAAAGAATTTTTTAAGTTAGTTATGAAAATGGTATATTAATAACTTTGTCATCAGTATTCATAACTTAATTCATGAATTTTGTAAGTGATGAATTTTTATTCATGAATTTTGTTTTCCATGAATTTTTTATTTCGGTGAAAAGGAGGATCAACTGATCGTTAAAAATTTTTTTTCAAAAACCTATATATAAAATTAAAAAACACAAAAACAAATAAGTAACAAGTTTTATTCCCCTACAGGATTTTTTAAGTTATTTATGAAAATGATAACTTTGTCATAGTAGTATTCATAACTTTAACAAGTTTGTCATGGGTGAAAAAAGATCAAAAATCGTGAAAAATTTTGGAAATTTCATACTAAACAAATAATTTAATGAATGCTCTAAAAATATATTATTTATTATTTTTCATAATTTTATTTATTAAAATTCAATTAAGGTACATAAATGTTAACATCACTTTAAACAATGTAATTTCAAATAGCAAAATACAAAATTTGAATCGAATAGTTCTTGAGAAATTAAATGTGAAAGACAGACTTACAGAATAGAAGAGAATTGGAACAGAAAAGCAATTTTTAGGCGCTAGGAGGCGTCGAACATCAATTTGAAGTAGAAATAAAGCTGGCCAAAAATTTTTTTTTATTTATATAAAAAAATTCTTGATAACTGCTTTTAAATGTCCATGGAACAAAATGATCCTAAAAACAAAATTTTTTTTAAAAATAAGTATTGATTTCTTTTGACTTAATTACGGGCAGAACTAATTTTTAATAGCGTTTTAGAAAAAAGAGGAAGAAAAAAAAAACAGGCATTAACATCTGGAACGAAACAAATTTTTGACATTTTTTTTTTACCTTATCAAACTATTGTCTTTAACAAAAGCAAGTGCGTAAGCAAAATGCTCTGGCAGGAAAAACCAGGCTGGTAGGGCGTTGGACCCATGTCTTAGAGGCCGTGAGTTCAATCCCCTCCGGCCGAAGGCTCCCATGTAGTAAATGGGTGAATGATCTACGTTAAATCTGTCGGGTCACAAAGTCTTCCAATTTCCCATAGCAAATCAATTCCTTTGGGGTACTGAATTGGAGTCAGAACTGGTTCAGGTCAAACTTACGTTCTGTGGATGAATGAATGGAGTATAATTAGGCCCTCCCTGTAAAACAGGCTGTGACTTATGTGTGGCTGGAGTTGTATTCTTTGTTATAGATGGCGCAACTGTAAAACCAAGAAACGCACCTTCTACCTTAAAAATTAGCTTGATTTCAAGCAGGCTTGCTAGTATTGGCAAGTAGCATAAGTTACAACAACAACCAAGAATGGATAAAAAAAATTATGTAACTGGTATAAGGACCTTTCTAACCGATAAAAAGAAATTTCACAATATAGTTTCTCATGGAGAAAAATGAAGTTTAGATGTTCCTACGGCAATTTTCTCACTCGTTATACAGCGTTGTTCTCATGCTCTGTAGGATTGTAGGAGAAAAATTGCGATTGCCCTCCCCTGAGCATCCCATATATGTTTTATAATGTTGATGTCTAAATATCTAACTGACCAGCTCTTTATATACAGGATGGTCCTAAAATATGTGTCAAAAATGTAAAGGTAGGTAGAGGGGACATAAATAAGCATATTTCGGATAGGAATGTGTGTGCGGTAATGGCACATTAAAGCAGTATCTTGTAAAGCAGTATGAATCAAAGGAAACTGAAAAGACAAGTAAAGACAAAAGAAAATTCGATTCCCTACCGGCTCCAGCCGGCATTACCGCACACATAATCCTATACGAAATATGCTTATTTAGGTCCCCTCTACATACCTTTACATTTTTGACATATATTTTAGGATCACCCTGTATATATAACCGTCGTTGAATAGGTTCTCAGGTGTCATTGTCTCTAATTCACGACCAAAATTACGATCGGTGGATGAATAAATGGATGTATAAATGATACCGTCCCCTAAATCATGATGTGGCATGTGTGTGGCTGAAGTCGTATTCTTGGCGATAGATGGCGCCACTGAAAAACAAGAATCACACCAAACAGGCTTGTTGGTATTGGCAGGTCGCATTAGAAACAAAAACAAAATGTTCTTTCATAAGATTTAAATAATTATATATTTCATCAACAAAACAATCTTTTTAAAAAAAAGAAAGAAACAGTGACTTAAAAAAAATATGATGAATGAGTTCGTAAGCGGAGCGATCAGGGGATGAAGCATATCACCCAATATTTTTAAAACTTTTACACAAAATTTATGTCTGGTAACACTTAATCACTCTCTCTCTCTTGTTGCTTTCAACATCAGCTCGAGTGAGAGTCTTATAAAATAAAGATCTCTCGACTGATTAATAAATTTAACTACATCTATCATGGATAAACAGTCATTATTTAAAGCAGAACATATGAGAAAAAATTCGGGAAAAGGCCCTTAAAATTGCTGTAATTTCCGAAAATATTGGAGTTCCGAAAAAAACTCGTGATGAGTTCATAAATGAAAACGGCCCTTTTAGCACGTCAAATTTCAATTCCACAGCTGAAGCTCATGCGGATGCAGATTACTCTGTGTATTATTTTTAACTACAGTTGGTTTAACATCGAACATTAATTTTTTTATTATTCCGTCGTACTCCCTGCATATTTTCGTACACACCAGCGTAATTACAAATTTCTAAGACTGATTGTTTTTATGCAACAAAACAAAATACATCGTAAAACTGAACACATGAAACAGTGGTGGAGACGTTACTTACGTTATTTTAATATTAAAAGAAAGGAATTGGCATTTGCATATCTCTCGTTGTTGTTTCT